TTGCTTGTTTTATGGTCATTTTATTCTGTGGCATTTCCCCTACATTTTCCTTACCGGGTACATTACCAAATCTCTTGGAAGATGTATGCAACTCTGGAATTTGCCCTTTCAGAATCTTAAAAGAGTTGATAAATCAAACTGAGTCTGAAATAGCTACTTTAACCTACTGCCCTATAGCTTGCACCCCAGGTGACCTCTGAAATTGAGTGGGATTTAAAACACAGTTTGTTATGAAATGCGGGGGGCAGCTCTAAAATCATCAGCTGATGTCCTTTCATTGGCATCAATAGGACCAAAACAAGTTCTGTGTGGGGTCATTGTATTCTGATCCACATCAGGGTCCTGTCCCTACCTTCTTAACCTTCTATTGAAAAATGCAGTGATATTTTAAGTAGCATGTGTAGTTTGGACCAGGGTCTCACCTTCAATTAATCCTGTGCAAGTAAGACATGTGACCCCTGATGTTTGACACCCGAAAGCCATAAACTCTCTAGTAAATGCCTTGGTGCTCTGAATTTGAGTATAACAGTCAGAATAGGCTGGTAGCGTACATATATTTTACTTGCAGAAAATGCTCAGGAATGAGTCAGTTTGTCCAGGGGGAATTTAATTAAAGGTGAACTCTCAAGAAACTGCAGCCTGTCCTTAAGCAATAATTGCTTTGTCAGATGATGACAGGAGTGAGACCTTAAGGTCAGTTTTCACTCTCCCAAAGTAGTCATTACATATGTTAACAGCTGCTGTTATGTTAAAGGCATCGTGGCCACACTGCACAAGGTGGTTATTAATGGTCTAATAAAGGCAGTGCTTAGTTACAGAATGAATCTGTGTTCTAATGGGAGGAAAGCAGGTTTTTCTGATACAGTAGCCATTATATCTGTCTGCCTATTCTGCAGTGATTATTGCTCAGACACACTGTGGCATTATTTTAACCTGTGCAAGCAAGGAGCACATTATGCCATCTATTGGGACTGAAATAACAATTGAAAAAACCATCCAGTACTATTGGACAAATGTGGTTGTTTACTTATAAACTATCAAGCCCTTTGTCACAGACTCTAGGGAGGTGTTCAAACAACCCACACGTGCACACTTTTATTTAATGTATGAGAGGGGAATGGCATGCCAGTACTTTACCAGCATGTCTTTGACAGTAGCGTGAAGGGCTCTAAATCTGTACAGATGCACTTACGGTAGGCCTCCTCCATCAGCATGGGGGCCCTGATTGTCTCTCCTCATGCAGAGAAGCCCTACATGGATACACCTGTACATGTGAAAGACACCCCCCCACACACACACTTCTGCTGCATTCCTGGCAGGAGTAATGGTTGGCAGGCATTTGCAGGCATGGTGAATGAGCAAAATCCCAATATCCCAGTGTGATCCTGGGGAGTATCTTGCAGTTTCTCCTTTGAATACTGACATCTCATTGCAGTGATTATGCAGTTGTCAAAGGAATGGCTCTAAACCTGAAAATAAATTCAGTATGATAGTTTGCAAAGTTTGGCTACCAAAGATTAAATATGCAATGAACCAATACTCTATCACACTTAACCTCGGGTGTTGAAAAATGTTACATTTGTTCTGAGAGTACAGACATGGGGATAATGTAATATATGAAGAGCGTATTTGCAGATTAATTCTATCATCAGGTATGGGCTTCAGATGGTGGTGAGATCATACATTACATGTGTATGTAGGGTGTGTGTGTGTGTGTGTGTGTGTGTGTGTGTATGAGATCCACCTCTACAAATACCCCCATAGTCATAACTTGTGAAGGACAGTCTGAAAGTCTGCTTTAAATCTTGCTGTATTAATTTTGAAACTACTAATTGAGTGAATACATGACCATAGTAGAAAATATTTTCTCATCTCAACATTTAAACAAAAGTCATAACTCTTAAGATGGGCAAGAACAGATGAACTGGATTCCTAAGCTCTCATATCCCTTAGATGACTGAATCTGCTAGACAAACTCAATCTGTATATCTGATTCAAGATATATAAAAAAGTATTTGGCACAGGTACGACACTTACACTCCACAACCTTTAAATTCTCATGCCCGCCTGAAGGGAAATGCCTTGGATGTATGCCCACTTTTAATTGCTAGTGAAAATGAATTGTTAAGCAATCACGAAATGATCAGCAGTTATCCAGCTGCAGTCTAAGGACATGTACACGTGACGACTTCCAGTAGTGGCTCTGAAAGATTTCAGAGAGCTGGTCACAAGGCTTTGGGGAAGTAAATTTATCAGTGTAGAAATCTGGAGTGAACCAGACCCAGCCAGGACAAGCCATATTGTGTGAAATTCCTGTTCTCAACTTTTATAGTAGCTCTAGCTGCCAGATGTTGTTGTTGTTCTTACTGTAGTACTGTAAAGATGACCACTAATATTCCCAGCTAAAAATGGAGACGACAGTTTATTTTCTAACCCCCTCAGTTAGTGGCTGACTGAAAAAGCGACAATGCCTTAATTTTATTTTATCTTATTTATTGTAGATTATTAGCTCTATAAAATAAGATTATCTTGTCTTTGTGGGCAGACAGGCATCCTATATATTAGTCATTCAATTTTATACTAGACCAAAGCTATTTATAATTCTCATGCCTTACACTAAGCCAGGGCTCAGCAACCTTTTTCAGCAGTGGCCTGGTCCACCGTCCCTCAGACCATGTGGTGGGCCGGACTATATTTGGAAAAAAATAATGAACAATTCCTATGCCCCACAAATAACCCAGAGATGTATTTTAAATAAAAACACGCATTCTACTCGTGTAAAAACACCAGGCAGGCCCCACAAATAACCCAGAGATGCATTTTAAATAAAAGGAAACATTCTACTCATGTAAAAACATGCTGATTCCAGGACCATCTGCGGGCCAGATTGAGAAGGCGATTGGGCCGCATCCAGCCCCAGGGCCTTAGGTTGCCTACCCCTGCACTAGGCAAAAAGATTTCACAGTAACAATTATGATAGGAGAATGCATTACTGCTTTGCTTAAAGGAGGATGCAATGATCTAATCTACACATCATTAGAAGTACATTGTGTCACAGGTCTTATATATTATGAATGAGTGATTTGGGGGGAATGATTTTTGGTTTGTTTGGTACAGAAAAGCATTACCGTATTTTTCGCTCTATAGGACGCACTTTTCCCCCTTCAAAAATGAAGGGGAAATGTGTGTGCGTCCTATGGAGTGAAGACGCCATAGCCCCGCGACCCTCTCCCGGCTGGAGAGGTGACGCGCGGCTATGGCAGGAGCCTCTTTAGCCACACGCCACCTCTCCAGCCGGGAGAGCGCGCGCAGGGCTAAAGAAGCCATAGCCCCGCGACCCTCTCCCAGCTGGAGAGGTGACGCGCGACTATGGCAGCAGCCTCTCAGCTGCGCCTTTCCGCTGCTCCCTGGTGGTGGGCTTCCCCCCACCAGCCCCAAAGAGCAGGTCGAAAGGAACCTGAAGCCTGGAGAGCGAGAGGGGTCGGTGCGCACCGACTCCTCTCGCTCTCCAGGCTTCCAAGGTAGCCGCCTGAAGGCGACTGAACGCACCTTAAACGGTACCCTGTTTTAGAGCGGGAAAACAAGAGGGGGAAAATTCTCCCCCTCTCTGCGCAGCGCCTCCTGCCGCTTCGCTGAAGGGGCGCTGGGCAGAGAGGGGGAGAATTTTTTTTCTTGTTCTCCCCCCTCTAAAACAAGGTGCGTCCTATTGTCCGGTGCGTCCTATGGTGTAAAAAATACGGTATTTCACATAACCCCCCTACTTCTAGTCTGAAGTGGTACAGGAACAGGTTTACCATTTCAGTGACAGCTCAGCAATAGTTTCAGTACAAGTCAGTATGATTTACCTCGTCAGGTCTGACTTGCTAAATGGGCAACCTGTACATTCTCTGTTGCAGCAGGATAACCTCACCCCCTTTGGGGGGATTTGTCTTCCACTACAAATGAAATAGATACAGAATGTACAGGGAAGGGAGTGAGTCTTGCTTGACAGAATGATAAATAATGCAATCTCATTGCAAGTCACCACAACCCAGAACTTCCACACCCTCCATGGTTCTTTCTCGTTTTTCTTCAACTCTTAGGAGACTCAGCTAGAAAAGCATTCCTAATCATACTTACTTGGAAGTAAATGCCACTGAAACAAATGAGACTTATATTACGTGAAAATGTTTAAAGTCAGGATAAAAGTCATAAATGCACAGTTACCAATAAAATATACAGTGTTCTTACGCTCCTTTAAAAGTTGAAAGCGCATTGTTAAAAGCCTTCTTGCTAACTGGTATCGCAACACCATGAAGTGTATGAATATATCTGGAGGGCTGCTTCATTTCATCCTCTGCTCTCAAGATTTACAGTGGTAATATAAATTTAAATATATGTTTCACAATGATTGCTCATACCTGGCAGTAAAGCCATCGTTGTCAGATTACCGCCACAGAATTTTTTTACAAGCATATCTGATCATACCACTATTTTTAAAGGAAAAACTGAATTAAATTGACCCTCTCCTCCCTTCTACTACTGGTCATAGAATATTACTAGTTTACATTGATTATTTTAAAGACTGCACACTGAACAGAACAAATTCCAGAACAACCACAATAACAGACCCCACACTATTTCTAAGGTGTCCAGAGATGAATTCAAAGGACAGATGCTTGTGATAAAGGATAGATTTTCCAAAGGGGGATTTAAGCTAACAGAATTCAATTGTCCTTCTAGAGTATAACAATCAGGCATGTTTTGTAGATGGACTAGAGATACAACTATACTTCATGTTTTAAATGTGTAATCTGTTTCAGAGTGATGACCTCCTTCAAAGTTCTCTGAAAATTATGGTTTTATTAAGGTGCTGAGAATACCATGTCACTGTCATAGGACAGCATATTTAATGGTTCCTTCTTACTTAAAATTGTTTGAAACTGATTTAAATTAATGCCCTTGGGGAGGTGAGTGCCTCTTCGGTTCTGTATTTCTTGTTTATAACCATCCTTCTTCTCTCACACCAGTAAGAGCCACATGTAAAAAGCTTTGCTGGAAAGATAAAAGGAAATTATGAGGCAGGTAAAATAAGCAGAAATCTTGAGAGAGCAGCTATTTAAGCTATTGTATATCATAGTGTGTGGAGAAGATTTATGGAAAGGACAATGATGTGATGACTTCACTGCAAATTTGTTAGGTACAAAACAAACTATTCTGCCTGTATGTCAATTTGTGTGCAGAGTTGCAATAAACACTTGTGCTATGCCAGGGTGGGAATCCTCAGGTCCAGGGGACCAGTTGTGACCTTCCAACCCGCACTGTCATTCCCACAAACTCTCTCAAGGATCTATCCCTTCAAGCCACATCCTCTCTGCCCAGCACAGCATCCTCACCGACCCTGCTATGTGACCTCCTCAAGTGCTTTTGACCAGCTAGAATGCATCTTTAATCTGTGAGAATGCCTCTTGCTTGCCTGGGTGGAAGTGTGTGTGTGGGGTGTGTGTGTAAACATAGCTGGAATGCACCTTACTCTACAAAGGGAAGAGTTGTGTCTATTGCCTTGCCCACTTTTCCAAATCACCAAATTAGTATTTGGCCACATGAACTGTCTATGCAATTGCTCATAAAACACAAGTCTATTGGGTTGGTTTTTTTTACCGTAATTGCTTGTATCGCTATTCTGCTTAGCAAAGCCCTCTGGGAACATCATTTGCTATACACACAAAATTAAGGAGGATAATCTCTAGACAACTCAAATCTGATAAAACAGACAAATATGGAGTTATTAATTAACCTCAACTGGTCACTCCAACTAAAGGCCCCAAGGGTTCCTCTTTTCAGAATAGACAAGACTGGGCTAGGTAAACAAATTGTATAAGTTAATATAAGTTAGTTTTCATGTATCATCTGACTCAGTTATGTTTAGATCCCAAGCCCTATTCCCCATTACTTCTCTGAATCCTATCCAGTTTGTCAACATCTTCATTCAAACTGGTTTGTGCAAGACTGCACAGAGCTCTTTGGCTTGAGATACTTGGGGGCATACTATATGTTGATAATGAACTCACTCTATATGTTGTTCATGAACTGTAGGCAATAATTCTCTACAAACATGTTTCTCTGACTCTATTCTCCCCTACTTGATTTATCCTATTCTTGTATAAACAAGAGAAACAACAGCTAGGATTACTTCACTTATAGCAATAGCACTTGCTCGGCAACAGCTGTTCAAACATTTGTTAAATCACTTCACAGCAAATAACATCACAGTGCCGCATGGCTGTTCCTCTCTTAATCTTAACCATAACACTATTATCATAACCCAGGGAACACATATGCTTCACACAAGCTGCAGGGAAGAATGTCTCACCTTTCCTGTGACACCATTATGGAGCTCCTCCAGGTGACTGGCATGCCTGAACCTCTTAAGTGAGCCCCATTTTCAGCCTGCTCCAGACCAAGGGGGACTGGGGGATATGAAATTTGGCTGATCTTCAAAACCAAGGAAGCCATATCTATGGAGCAATCGCAAAGCAATTACAAAGCAAACTGTTTTCCTTCACTCATGAGAATCATTGCTACTTCATTCACTGGGAGTAGATTTGTCCTTGTGAGTGTACATCTGGAGACAATTGGGATGTTTTGCATGGAAAACAGTGATGTGTTAACTGTGATTCCATACTAAAGTAATTTCCGACTTCCATACTGGCGTGACAAACCATTGTCTGTTTCTCAGTTAACATAGGTTTTAATTATTTGTGAAATTAACAGAAGGATGTTATCTAAACCACACCATTATAAACCAATTTTCATCAATGAATGATGGCAAGGAATCACATTGTGTGAATGTTATTTCTTTACTATTGTGGCAATAGAATTATAAAATAATGTTATGAGCATAAAATATCACTTCATGCTAAGGCTCATTTGTTTTCTTGTTTATCCTTTCAAGCTTAGTAACTGAAATAGCCATAGCACCTTTTACAAGGCAGTTATCAGTGAGACTAATATCTGGTAACTTGCAAAGAAGAAGAAGAAGAAGAGTTTGGATTTGATGGACCTGAGTGAAGCCAGGCTTCAGTCAGGTCTGCCTCACTTAGCTTGGCCACAACTGGCCAGTTCAAATTTGATTGACAAAAACGTCTTGAAGAAGAAGAAGAGTTTGGATTTGATATCCCGCTTTATCACTACCCGAAGGAGTCTCAAAGCGGCTAACATTCTCCTTTCCCTTCCTCCCCCACAACAAACACTCTGTGAGGTGAGTGGGGCTGAGAGACTTCAGAGAAGTGTGACTAGCCCAAGGTCGAGACTACCGCTCTTAACTACTACACCACACTGGCAATTTATGGAGGCTGAGACAAAGAAATTGAGCACTCATTGCAGATGCTTACATCTTTCTAGGTCTGTTTTGGTTGCCTGTAGAACAAGGCATTGCTTTTCCCAGCCAGATTGGTGGGATAGAAATAATAAACATATATTATTATTGTTGTTATTATTATTATTATTATTATTATTATTATTCCATCAGTTCCAGAATTGAAGGCTAGAGGATCCTAACTATTGGATTAATCAACCAAAGTTGGCAAAGACTTGATCTAAATCAGACCTCCTACTGCACGGTAAGAACCTTTGCACCACAGGTAAACCTATTCTACAGATTAAACGTATAGGTAACACCTTTGGCAACAGCAATTAGTTCAGGGGCATGCTTAGTGTCAAGCATGTGAAACTTCTATAAGTTCCCAAATTCAGTTCTTGGCATAGACTTCTTACCATTTCAGCGGTGGCAGCAGTTGCAGCCCGGCATAGTCATGGGAGAGCCAAGAGAGGAGCCAAAAAGCTTCCAGCGTTACTGGCTGGCATTGTCATTGGCCTCAGCCAGTCAAGGGGAGTATCATGGGGAGCCAGTGTGGTGTAGTGGTTGAGTGATAGTTTTGTAATCTGGTGAATCGGGTTCGCGTCTCCGCTCCTCCATGTGCAGATGCTGGGTGACCTTGGGCTAGTCACACTTCTCTGAAGTCTCTCAGCCCCACTCACCTCACAGAGTGTTAGTTGTGGGGGAGGAAGGGAAAGGAGAATATTAGCTGCTTTGAGACTCCTTAGGGTAGTGATAAAGTGGGATATCAAATCCAAACTCTTCTTCTTCAAGACGTTTCTGTCAATCAAATTTGAACTGGCCAGTTGTGGCCAAGCTAAGTGAGGCAGACCTGACTGAAGCCTGGCTTCACTCAGGTCCATCTCCAATGCATTTAAACCAGCTGCAGTTGCTTCCATCAGTGCAGTCAGCACAGACGTCGCAACCCCACACACCTCACATGCTTTGGCCATGCCCAGTGGTAAGTGGGCAGTGCATGTGTATGACCTTGCTGTGGAATTTTAAGCCAGGGAAGAATTTGCCTGCAAGCAAATTGGGCTGGTTTTGGAGTTTTTGCAAAAGTACTCTTTGTGTACCACATTATATGCAGCAGAAGATCCCATGAAAACTGAGATTCTAGAAGTACACCTGCATTCACAGGTCTCCTCTCCAAGCATACTGTCATCCTTATACATCACCAACGTGTATGTTCATGTCAGACAGCAAACTGCAATACTACATCAATGTCTTTAAAATGTAGCACGGCAGGCAACTCCAGGTGACATCTCTGTCTATTCAAGAAAGGTTGCTTTTCCTTTTTCCTTACAGGCTAGCAGTCCTGAACAACCTCAGGAACATTCAGACATAGAATACGGTTATTTTGTTATTTATTGGTTTTAGCCTTCGTCCAAGCAGACCCCAGGTGGTTTACACAACCCATAAAATACAACTCCTCATAAAGTACAACAATAAATTCTAAAACCAACATTAGAACATTATACACAGCAGACGGCTTCAGCAACTCCACAGCATTCTAGTGTCCAAACATAGCTCCCATTATCAGCTCTGCCCAAAAGCATGGATGAATAAAAATGCTTGAAGCTGGCATCAAGAGATTTTCAATGAATGGAAGGCTTAAATTGCTGAAGGGAGGGAATTCCATAGGGTGGCATTGCAGAGAAGAGCCCCTTCTGTACTACCAAGGAACATACCTCACCTAGATAGAGGCAGCACTGAATTCCATTACTGCAGTAGCTGGAGAGGATGCAGCTGCAATCATGAATATCACTGCTATCTCTAACATATTAGCTTTGTACATGCATGTGTGGGTATAATTGTTTCTTGTCCACTTTTGCCTGTTGGTATGTGGCTCCCCAGAAGGTTACCCAGAAGGGAATGTAGTTCTAAAAAAGGTTCCATATGATAGCTCAGTTGGCAGAGCATGAGACTCTTAATCTCATGGTCATGGGTTTGAGCCCCATGTTGGGCAAAAGATTCCTGCACTGCAGGGCACTGGACTAGATGACCCTAATTCAAATTTATAAAAAAAACAACAACCCTGCTATAAAAACCCTGTTTACCTCACAATTACTTATTATCAGAAATATATAAGAATGTGAGTTTAAAGCATTGAGGGAAACTGTGTAGTTTGAGAACATTACAAATCAAATCAAATCCACTGTTGGAAGAAATAAACCCTAGGAAATAAATACACTTAAGAAACATGCAAATTCATTTTCTTTGTCAGCCCAAAGGAGACACAAGACTCTCTGACTGCTGTATTTATTAGTTTTTATCTTGTATTTTAAGATGCCTATCTGAAAAAGGAACATTCTCTGTTGGCTTCTAGTTTGCATGGCTCTGGCAATCGTCATTCAAAACATATGCAAATATGAAATAGGTTACTGTTAGGGTTTTTGAAGAAACATCATCTGAATACATTTACTCAAATGAATCTGTTAACAGTGAGTTTGAATTATATCTATATTTGAATTAGCGGGGAAAAGAGAAAGAAGAGAAAGGACACTCCTTGTTCTTTACCTTCAGGGCTAGGGTTCTTCAAGGATGATTTATGTATAATTGCAGCCTACATTTGAATCTTTCTCCAAAGCTTAATTCACAGTCAAAAACAGGATAACAAAGTGCCAACACTTCTCCACCCAGAGTCTCAAAGTTGTTTCAACAAGAATCACACAAAGAAAAACAATTAAACTTAATGTAAAACTACCCATCGACCTGATTCCAATCTAAGCCATAGTTTAGCTGCATGATGTGCACAAGTCTGGTGTCTCCTTTTTCTCTTGAGTAAGTGCAGGAGAAGCATAATTTCATAAAACTTCAAAAGCATCTCTCTTATATTTTCAAACCCCTCACATCTATGAAAGTCCATCTGTTAATTAATACTGTAATATCAAAGACAGAAGCAGTTCCTAGTTGGTATAGTTTCCCTGCTTAGAGATAACAGGGACATATGGTTAAATGCGACTTCCGATCCACCTGCCCCCACCCCTACCTTGGAAGAACAGAAGCAACCACATGCGGGTGCATGAAGTCCAGATATGATCATCAGAATGTGGCCATATTTTATAATGTCAGTACGAATACCAACAGGGACGTGAGTGGCACTGTGGTCTAAACCACAGAGCCTAGGGCTTGCCAATCAGAATGTCGGTGGTTCGTATCCCCACGACAGGGTGAGCTCCTGTTGCTCGGTCCCTGCTCCTGCCAACCTAGCAGTTCAAAAGCACGTCAAAGTGCAAGTAGATAAATAGGTACCACTCTGGCGGGAAGTTAAACGGCGTTTCCGTGCGCTGCTCTGGTTCGCCAGAAGTGGCTTAGTCATGCTGGCCACATGACCCGGAAGCTGTATGCCGGCTCCCTCTGCCTGTAAAGCGAGATGAGCGCCACAACCCCAGAGTCGTCCACAACTGGACTTAATGGTCAGGGGTCCCTTTACCTTTACCTTACCAATGTCATGAACCTACTCTATCAGTAAGGCCAAAATGTTTGATTTATATAAGTATGAGTTATGCTTTTTATATTAAGTTCTGAGTTGCCTCTTTTTGCATAGGTCAGCCTAGCAAATAGTCCTGTACAAACCTCTCCCTTTGGGGGCAAGTATTACAGTATTTTTTTTAAAAAAAATATATATTTATTGCTTTTATACCTTACAAAAAGAAAAATAGAAAATAAAAAAGAAAAGAAGAAAAAAAGCAAAAGAGAAAACAATACAATACAATATATAAACAATACAGAACGCAACATTAACATTAACACATTAAACAAAACAAAAGCAAAAACAATTCAAAAAACACACATCATACCATCTCAATATCCTCTCTTTCATTCCCTTGTTTCATCGACCTCCTCACACCTCCCTTTTTTGTATTCCATTTCTATTAATTGTTTCAGCAAATCCTTTCCATCTTTCTCTATTTTCTGTCATGTAATTATCTTAACATATTTTTACCTTATTTTCCATTAATACTATAATACTTATTTATACTTAATTCCTTAAAATATTTCTACTAAAGCCGTATAATTCCCTTCCAACATTTTTCTAACACTCATTAATTTTACATTATTTCCATATATAGATTTTAAACTTTTTCCAATATTCTTCCACCGTCTCTTCTCCCTGGTCTCGGGTTCTGCCAGTCATTTCCGTCAATTCCATATAGCCCATCAACCTGGTGATCTTCTGTCCGAGGCTCTTAACTCTTTTCCAGGTCCCTTCTGCAAGTCTTCTTCATGTTTATACATGCACTTTACTTTGTCTTCTCCTGATCTTGTTCTTATTTTCCTTCCTTTGATGCTGAAAAGTAGATCTCCAGGAAATTCCCATCTAGCAATGTTTTTATTCCTTCTCGACAAGTCAGCCAAATCTCCATAGTTAGAACTGAAATTCAAAAGATATTTCCAGTCGTGTTTCAAAGTTCCTCCAAGTCTGGCAGTCCCCACAACTCCAGTCTCCTTCTGACCCAAGTCCAGGTCCCAAAGGTCAATCTCCAGTCCAAGCAGGGCTCCAATCCTAAAAGTCTGACTTTCTCTAAATTCAGTCTTGGAAGGCATCAACTTATAATCATCAAATTGCAACTGTAAGGCTGGAGCTCTCTCCCTCACCACTTGTGCCACTTTAGGTTCCTCAGCAAAAACTTTCTCCCCCGCCTTCTCCTCAATTTGCCATGTCAAAATAGATCCCTGTATCGATTCCTGAATAATTTCTGTATTAATATTGACTTTTTGTGCCAAATTAGTCACTTTTTGTTCCAAGTTATCAATTTTTATAGTCCTCGCATCCGTCTTCTTATAAAGCTGTTCCAGTGAATCATTAATCTTACAAAATGCAACCACTAAGGCTTCTTCTGTCAACATTCTTAACGATTCAAGGTCAATCCCAGATTCTCACAGTTTTATCTTGCAAGTGGAAAATCCCCCCAGCTCAGCTCTTGTAACAATTTCAAAGGCTTCCTCTAGGGGGGAAACAATTTCTATTTGTATCAATCCTTTTAAGCACAGTTCAAACAATAAAGTTAGTTTCAATTTTCAGTTACTTTTACTCCTTTTTAAACACAGAAGGAGACAATGGAAACAATGTATTTCTCTTCTTTAACTTACTGTTAGCAGACGATCTATTCACAGTCAATGAGCATATCCGAAACTTCAGTCTTTACTAGCAGCCCGTTTCCAGGTTCAGAGCGGTGGTAATTTGACTTTCTTCACTCTCTCCTGCAGGCTTACACGATCTTAAATTTCCCCCCTCTTCTCCTGCTTCCAAGGGGGGTTTGATGGTTTAACCGATGGAAGTTTAATCCTTTATGTGAGACTTTCCAAGGCTTTAGCTTGCAGCCTCTTTGCTTCAATCTATTTACAAAGGGGGAGGCAGACTTCCTGTTTGAAACCTCCCCGTTTTGGTGCCAAATTAGGACGTTTAAAAATCCAAATTTCCGTTCTACTCACAGGTAGTTGTTTTAAGATCAAATTGTCTACAGGAAAAAGTCAGCGCTCTCCTGCAACAGCAATGCGGCTTCACTCCATGAACGAAGCAGTCGATTCGAAGCACCGCGCCACTCACCCCACATCGCTCCGGATCCCCGAAACTGGGTTTCCCTGCGAGTAGAGGAGGCGCAAAAGGTGCCAGCCGAATCCCACGTCCACAAGCTTCTCCCGCCTGTGGTTTTTAGTGGGTCTCCGCCTTCGCCGTGGCGGCCAGACCCTGATTTCCACAGAGCGGATTCCTCCCGATCAGAGGAATTCCTCCATTGCCGGAGGCGCTAACCCGGAAGTCTTTATAGATATGCTACTTTGGCTAAGAAGGTCTCCGTAATGTAGGGTTGGCATATTTTGAAGAGCAAAAAAGAGGAGACATTTGCAGACTTCTGCTTTTAACTATGGATAGCTATGATGACTCTACCCATGAAAAAGAGGACATATGGCAACCTTAAAAATGCAGCACTTCATTTGTGACCCTGGATGATGTGATGCATCCATTGATGAGCAGTTACATTTTTTTTAAACAAACATAAACTATCTTTATATAGCTGATTGAAAACAAAATTACACAAGTAACCCTTGAAACATTCAATTTGGGGAAGTGAACAAAGTCTTTCCACAAAGTATATTGGTCTCAGCAGAGGTTTATTTTTTTACAAAAACTTTAATCAACTTCTTTTTAATAATGTCTTTTGTATTCCAAAGTCTTTAAGAAATGTCAAGAATGCTATTCACCAGGGTGCCCATCCCAGTAATTAAAAGTGGAGCCCAACTCTGAGAGGATTTCAAAGCACTTTAGAGGAAATGACCAAAGTTTGCTTTCAAAAAAATCTCAAGCATCTGTCCCTCATCCTTTCATTGTCTGATTCAAGAGTAGCTGACCTGTTATTTATTTAAATACTGAGGTTGTTTTCTTAGTGATATTTTCTTTCATAACCTGTACACTCCAATCTGGGGTTTGAAAGAGATGATTACAGAGACTTATAAAAACTGTATGCTGCCCACTCATATATATATAGATAGATAGATATATAGATATAAATATAGATATAGATATATATTCTGCAAGGCTCATGAATATAGATGTTGCGTTGTTGTTGTTGTTTACTCCACATTTCTGCAAAAATACAAAATATGTCCACACAAAATTGACACAGATACAATTGACGTGTTGCTTAAGAACTAATGTTAAATTTTACCAAAACAAGATTCAATGTGAATTTGGAGGTGCTTACTCAGCCAAATGATCTGGGGAATATTGAGACAAACCAAAAGAATCTTGAGGACTAGTGGCATTACGTGGTAGAGAGGTGCAGAACTGCAGTGCAGTCTATAACCTCCTTTCCACTGCTTTTCATTGTCAATGCCATCAGTATACCTATGCTGCTGCCTCCAGCTATATATTTTATGGTTATCCTCTGTCTAGCTGCAGGCATTTCCACTTCAGTCCCAAAGCCTGATTTTATAAGGTTAAAATTCCTTCTGCCAGGATCAAGTGCT